GATTTGGGGCTCAGCACTACTCGACACAGTGTTTGAACTGTGCGATCAATTATTATGTATAATTGTCTCCTCGGCCGATATATCGTGGCGTCAGGTCATCGCGGATGTCAAATCCCATAATGAATGCGCCCAAAAAATCGAGTGTATGACGCGTAAAACAAGCAGACTACAACAAGAGCGTCATTTCAACTTTTTGAAAGGCGTGCCAACAACTAGACAGGCCGCACGCAGGCAGGTCAATGTAAATTTTACTGTAGGGTTGTAACAAACAAAACTGTTTACACCTGCTAAAGCGTACGGCCATATAGGTGTCAATACTTAAGACCGATTGAAAAAAAATAAACATTTTTTCCCGGCCCCGAAAAATTACAATCGGGTCAAAATGCAATTTTGAGTGGATTTTATGTAAGCATCACCTGACAATACCTCAAATGACGCCCCTGCTATAATATCGTATTATAATCTATAAATCATCCGATTGCTATTAATACGGATTGGTATAATACTCAATAAAATTCGACATTGAACGCGGGGAGAAAAAAAAAAATTATAACGAAAACACCGTGTTGACATACCGCGCGTTCGATTTGTTCGGTACGTTTTTGTCACGCTCGATTTTTACTCCTTCGCCTAACGGATAACATTATCCTGGCCGTCGGTAATGAATTTGAATTTCTCGAAAAAAACGAAAAAACAAGCTATTTACGGCACACGCTCAAGAAATATTATATTTCGACACTTCCGTATAATTATTATTATTATTATACGGACTGTATTTATGAGATAATAATTTTTTTTATTTTCCATGCGTTTGATGTGTAAATAACGCTGTGAGAAACGTTTCGGTTTCCGAGTACGGTCTGTCCGCAGCACAATCCCATAACGATACGAAACCTGTGTATAATTTTCATCGTCTAAAAAAAAAAAAAAAAAACCATTCCATTTCTTCTATCGCCGTTTCTGTGTAAAATAATTCGTATAATATAAGACGTTTTCCAGAAAGAAAAAAAAAACAGAATAATACGATAATAATTTCTACATCACACTTCATTGATCGATAGGTATAGATAGGTAATAATCAAATTATTTTATGCTTTGATCTATTGTTAGTGGTCGTCTAATACCGCTGTATTATATGTATATATATATATATTAATAAATTACTATACGGACAGAAACCTGCATTGCGTGTCAATAATTTTCACTTTTACGATTTTTTTTTTTTTTTTTTTTATTATATTTTTGCGGTTATACGGCCGCACAGTATAGAAATTAATGTTACTATACAGCTCGTGTATAGAGTATTATATCATAAAGAAAAAACAAAAATTGTCGAAAAATTATAGCTGTCGGAAAAATTCTGTTGCTCGGGGAATATTTTAGCGGGCTCTAGACATCAATGTATATTTAATATAAATCTTCTCTTCGTCTTTGTTCACTCGCGTACCGATATCTGTTTAGTTATACGTTATTTAGGTGATCTATAAACTTTGACGCAAGCATGCTGTTTGTATCCCGGACGACGACGTCTGGCCGGTTTTCGATTTCCAAAAAACGTTTAACCCCGTTTTCCGCACAGGAGACTCGGTCTTCTTACTCGAGGTATCTATAAACACGCGTCGATCACGAATTCTCGCCCGGATAAATCGCGTTTAGCTTTCAATTGTAAAACTTCTGAGCTTCAACAGCTGACATTTGTTTGCTTTTTACTTTCTTTTTTTTTTTTTTTTTTTGATGTTATAAGAAATTTATTTTATCTTAAAATTTAAATGTTTTACACGTTGGCTTTTTGCAGGCATCTTTTGTTCGTATAACGTACTAAACTCGAGCCAAACGTTAACCGGACCCAAGTACATTTTGTTGTCGCCGCCTTACAAACTACGCACCACAGCCACTTTGTGTTTAGCCGAACCCGTGTCCGGCTGTAAGTTTTAGTATTAAAGTGAATTGACCTATTATGAAACTTCAATGTGAAAAACTACTATTTCCATGTCTGTGTGTCGGAATTTTCGTTAATTTTAATCCTAAGCGTGATACGAGTGTGCGAAATATCAACATTTTTAAAAAGCTCATATCTCGGAAAAAATACCGACGGACCACGCGCGGAAAATGGTGAAGTTGTGAAACCGACCAAGTATGGCTGGAATGCGACAATAATATTGCGAACATAACGTACCATTAAACCGAAAATTTCTGCTAAATCCACGCGATGATTCCAGAATATTTATAGACACTATAGAAAATATCGCAGGTTTTCGGGGGGGAGGGGGGCAAATTCGGCCAGCGCTCGAGGGGGCGGATTTCACTTTGGGCGAACGACCCGAAATCACATATCGTTTCGGCGTGTTTATACGCATATCGTTCGAGCGAAATTTCGCACGGCCTTAAGACGGGCCTAGACGTTTAATATATCACTCGGGTGACGAGGTTGCACATAATATTGTTTAGGTGAAATGCATGCGGACTAATACGTTTTCTCTCCCGTTTCGAAAGATTTAGCACTCTCGCGGTTAACTCTAACCGGTGTACGGTTAAAAGCGTATTCTATTGTTATGATATAAGTGTTGATATACCATAAACGCGCTCTCCTTAGTCACAATTATTGTTGAAAAAATATCGTTTGTTCGTAATCACGTAATAACGTACAAATCGCATATTATAACGATGTGCAACGCGCAGACGTTACGGGTATAATGGTTTCGGTATAACTTTCCGGTTGATAATAATAACCCGACGAGATTTTCCCCCTCCCATCCCCCATCCCCCGGGACTCGATTTATCGTTTTTCGGAACGAAAACAAATTATCGCGGGCCCGTTGATTTGCCCGATCCCTTTTTGGCCGAGCCGACGTCGAAAACCGGTCGCGTCTATATTATCTATATTCTATACGGTAAAAAAACAATAAACCCGTGGCCGTTTCGCGCACAGACAATACAATATAATGCGCTACGACGTCCACAAAGGATCCGTCGGCCACCGAAACGGACAACAGCTGTCCGGGGCCGAAACCGACGATATAATGTAACGATAATGCGGGTACGCGGGAAGACGAGAGCGACGATAATCGCGAGGTCTCGCTCCTCGTCTCCCGGAACTGGTTTCTTCCCCGATTCGCTGTTCCGACCGCCGCGCACGCACGCACGACGGTGACGCATCTCCGTAAATCCCACGGGATATTTACGCGCGATTTTTTCATTTTAAAACAATGTCCGGTCCGTGTGCGACGATCATTATTGTTATGCATACGTGCGAACCGCGCGTGTTATAACGAGTCGGCGCCGGTACATTGTGTAGGTACGCGCGGGCATTGAAGAGAAAAAAAAAAATAAAAATAAAATAAAGACCGCGGACGGAATCGCTACACGGCCGCCGCCGCCGCCGCCGCCGCGGTCGTATAATGACACCGGCGCGGGTCCGGGTGAAAACAATAGGGCCGCGTCGCCTTGATGGCCGTGCCGGCGGCCGCGAAATACCGGTTCGCGGTCCCTCGCGGCCGCCGGGCGGCAGGACAAACCCGCGGAAACCAGTTTACCGGCGGCGCGGTGCAGATGACCAACACCCCGCGGTCCGCGCGCGCACGAGAATTCCCATGGAAACCAGTTCTGACCCTTCGCGCGCGGACAATTAAAAAAAGAAGAAGGGAAGAAAAATATACGATCGGCGAAGAAAAGCTGCTGCGTCGTCGTCGCCCGTCCGTCCGTCCGTCCGTCCGTCCGTCCGTGTTTTGTTCGTGTGCCGGTATTATGCGCGCGCGTCCTTTACTCCTCGCGCGGTCGGCCCGAAAAACTGGTTTTCCGCGACGGCCGGCAGCCCTGACCGAAAGTGGCCGTGTGAACCCGCGGGACCCGACAGGACATTTTTATTGTGTTAACGCTACCGCGCACCGTTTTATCGTTTCGCCGGCCAACTTAAAACGGACGACGGCCCCATTGTTTGTACGGTACATACTTGCCCCGTAACGGTTAATTCCGTAGAAATAATTAACGAAAAAAAAAAAAAAAAACATAAATAATAATAACGAAAAATGTCCCACGTTTACCGCGCGTAACTGTTATAACGTATTCTAAGTCTTCGTGTAATCTCAATCGTTTCATACAGAAAATGGCCGGGTGGAAACGGTTATAACATATTAATATCAACTACAAGTCTAATATAATATAATCTATCAACTATAACTGTTAAGTATTCTAAAAATGAAAAAGCCGCTGTCCCAGGATAACGGTGACGGGTGCAGCCGCCATTGTAGGCGGGAAGTCGGGATGGTATGGACGGGGATTTGGTGTGCATCAGTACGCAACGGTTAACCGTTGCTAACGAAAAAACGATTCTGGACGGAGTTCGGTTGATAGTATTTATATAAATAAACATCATTGTATTATAATTTATATTGCTGCGTCTCAAACTCTGTAAAAAGATAGCCATCTAATTATTTTATCGTTATTGTTGGTGTTTTGTATGTATTTATGTATCGAGTATATTAAGAACGACTCGCCTCCGTCATACGCTTTTGTTTATAGGAAATGAGTAAACTATTATATTTTTATGTTATTGTTTGTTTACAAAAAAAAAAAAATTGTTATTATTATTGTAAAACAAATGCATTCCTCGCTCCGCTCAGAATCTAATATAAACATTGCGAAACCAATAAGTTTCTCGCTCGACACAGAATATAAAAGGCGCAAAGTCGGGAAGATAGGATGGTCATTTGAATGTACGTGACGATAGGCATAACTAACTCGCAAATCGATCCCAAACAAAATTCGTTTTATAATGTCGTAATTTTTGATGAAATTTTATCATATTACGCTTTTAAAAACACTCAATACATTAAGCGTTCCATTTGTTTATTTTTAACCGCTAAAAATTATGCTCTTAATGATACTCATGTTAAATTGACAAGCATTTCTGTTCGACCTAACAACTGTATTCGCATTAAACCAAATAACAACTAAAAAAAAAAAAAAAAAAAAAAAAAAAAAAATAGAAAATGTCAAATTAGCGTTTAAACAGCTCAAAAATCGCCGAAATGTGCTGATATATTATTCCACCGAAATACAACTAAAAATAAATTCGGAATTGATGTGATCGATAAAGGCGTAAACTTCCCCGTTTTTCCAATTATCAAGAAAACTACACAAAAAAAAAAAAAAATAAAAAATAAACCAAAACTTGACTTTCTTACTCGTCACCAATTAGATCATCAAAATGAAACAATAAAGTTTTCGTTTCGTGTTTTGAATAGAGCAAATGTTCCGGTAGAAAAGTCGTACACAGGCGAGAAAAAAAAAATAAAAAATAAAAATAAACGCTCATCGTAGTAAAACCGAATCAACTTTCCGGCGAACGTTTGCGTTACACACGAGAAAACCCTATTGATTTTACCGGTTTCGGGACAGGTGCGTTCGATTCACTTGTAAGTAAAATTCGGAATCGCGCCGTTTATATATGTAGACGCGAGTATAACAATCAAAACGCGCGTTGCAAACTGTCCGTGCGCGGACTCGCCAAACGGAAATGGTATTGTTTATTTACTGGATACGAGTTCCGTTGAATTGACGGGAAAAAACCGTCGCGTAGCTGTATACAGTCGAAAGTTTATACGCGATAAAATGTTAACGCGAGTTACAGGTTAATAAAAAAAAAAAAAAAAAAAAAAAAAAAACAAAACGTTATGTTAGATATAATAACGTTTGGCCAATCAAGTCGATCGTTTCGTCTTCGACCCGACGTATACGACTGCTGTTACATACCATTATAAAATATATAACCGGACGTTTGTATACGAGAATCGATTGTAAAAAGTCGAGTTGATAAACCGAAAGCTGTACCGGCCGAGTTAATAATTTTACTGGATGACAGCGAAGATTAATAATTAAGTGCGGTCAGGTCAGTAAAACGTTTTATTTTTTTTTTTTTTTAAATAGTACGTAGTAACTTATTCACTTAAATTTTTTAACGAGGCGTTGCGTCGGTCAACGACGTTGTTTTTGGTTTTTTGCACCGCGGTATTCGCGATAAAAATAAAAATTGAAAAACCAAAGCTTAGCGGTAGTTTTATGGCACGAACATTGAAGCTGGTATATGAGACAACGCACTAAAAGTTATACTACACGAGTCGAGTTGCGATAAAAGAAAATAAATAAATATATACAGAGCGATATAATTGTTATTTATATGAGTACATTTGACGCGCGGGTATTTTTTTTTTTTCAAAAACAATTAAGCTTTCATTCGGCGCCGTTTTCAATGTGTTACCCCAGCTCCTCAAACGTTAAATGAATGTTGACTTTTGATTTTCAAAATGGCAACGCACCCATTTTTCAGCACAGATTAAAAAAAAGGAAATCAGATATTTTTCTAAACACTACGACATGCGTACCCGTTATACCGGATTTACTGTTTATGTAGCAGTTTAAAAAACTAGACTAAAGGATAGTGAATGGTATATAATATTTCGTTTACATTTTCCGAGATGGTAACTTTTCCCTAAACTGTTCCTTTTTTAACGGCTATAACTAATATTTACGGGAAAGGGAGAGGGGGTTACCATTTTGAAAATCAAAAGTTTAAACTCATTGAACGTTTTTAAGAAAAGTAAGTATAGATAATGTTGACGTAAAACTTATAAGTAATTCTATAAAGAATGAAAAAAAAATAATCAGCAGTCAGATTTACTAAAAATAAACGCAGACGCCTATTTTTAACATCGAATTTTGACATTTTTTCCCCGACTACGTCACTGGACAATATTATTATGTAGTTATTACTATTGTATTTCGTACCGCGGTTAACGGTTAAGTAACCGTGCATGTTTGTCTTTTGACAATTTAATTCAGCCGTAATACGCCAAATTAATAATAATAACTTGTTTTTTTTTTTTTCCTTTTTCTAATCAATATTTTCCAGTTTCGTCACTTGAAAAACTCAATTTGCCCTACATAAATGCGAGTATACGGCTGCGGCGTATACAGTGACACGTGCAACAATTATAATTATTTTTTTTTTTCATTATTATCCGAGTACGCATGCTGTGGTACGTGATGGCGGCAATTGCATGCCGGACCGTGTATTGTATATATTTTTTTTTTATTTTTTTTATTATATTTAAAACAGTGTGCAACAACACTCGATCGGCGTTTTTATAACGAAAAAACCGAAAATTGTTTTATATATCTATGATATAATAATAATACACGCGCGGCGTGTGTATAGAAACCGTAGAAAATCACGGTGCACTGAGCGGCGGGGGGGGGTTTTTTTTTTTCAATCTTTAATTTGTCGGCGGGACACGATAATAATAATTATTATTACGTTCCACGAGACGCGCGGTTAATTTCCGACACGTTTCTTTGTTGCGGTGCTCTCGGGAAACTCGGACCGACTGCGAGACCACGTACACCTATACAGGGCGTTTGCATGTAGTGTGGACCGAGAGGATAACAAAAACGCGGAGCGGTACTAAATCGAATGCCGGATAGAAAAACGCTCCGGCGAGCTCGATGGAAATAAATGTAAAATGGACGCCGTCGACAAGGGGGGGGGGGAAACCGCGTATTATCAAATTAATTTGATGCGTAAACCGCAAATTATCAAAGATCAAGAATGCGATTCGTATCTACGTCGGAATGGAAAACCGGACGACGGAAACGAACGTTGCGAAAAACCGCTAACCGATCGGAGCACTGAAAAAGGAGTGGAAACCGTACGAAACCAACGAGTAACACGCTCATAGGAACACCGAAAACATTATCGTCTCGAATCGTGTGATCGAGGTGTTCAAAACGACATTTCTCGCAAATCGTCTTGTACGAATCGGTTTGCGACGGACACGCGACGCTCTCGCGCGGTTTAAAATGACCGCACGTATTATCTCACATTATTGTCGGTTTGTACGATGACTCTGCGCAAGAACGCCAAGGGCGCATTATACCGTCACTGATTTCGCGTACGTATGCGCAGGAGGTAGGTATACCAATCTCACTACTCGTTCGGTACAACGGTCATTTCGTCTTTCGTTTCGGAAACACCCTGTATAACGGACGCGACACGTACGTGTATTTTTCGAAGGTTCGGTCCCAGAGTATACTCGTACGTATACGCTCGTATATAATAAAATGTAACGTATTTATTTCCCCCGCCCCGCCCGCTCGCCGTCGAAAACGCTCGTCCGGTGTATCGTAGTAGCACTCGAAATAATGATAATAATTGATAATCATTTCTTTCGTGGTGTGTCCCCTCGCACATCACCCGCCCGCTGGGCGCTGCGGCGTGTTAATGCCCACTGATGCTGGCCGCCCGCCGCCGGTTACCGCCGATGTCTCATAACATAATATACCGACTACCGACTGTCTACCGTTTTCCACTACCGTGCATTATAATTTATAATAACGTGCGCGCGTACGGCCGAGAATATTATTAGGTATGTTTTTGGTCAATTCCGTTTTTTTTTTTTTGTTTTTTTTTTTTCTCTTCCTATAATAATATATACAATATATAAATATATATATATATATACGAACGGACGTGCGGGCAGGGCAGTACGTACCGGTAGATATTATAACATGTAGGCGGGCATCGCGGCGACGCCGACGACGATCGCTCGTTTTTATTTCCCCGTGCGGTGCGCGTGTGTGTCGTATAATATTACGATTTTAATAATATTTCACCGGATTATACGTCGAGGAGAAAAAAAAAAAAATTGAATAATAGCGGTAACACCGCGACGGTATATACACGAGCGTATAAAAACGCGCACTCCCGGAATACGCGCGGGGCCAAAGGGTCTTGGAATAGAATATCGGAGGGGTGCCGCGTACAGGACAGGACAACGAGGTATTCGAATGAATAATAATAAAAAAAAAAAAAAAAAAAAAAACCTTAGAAGAACTGATGCGTTTCGCCGGGCACACGCGTGTACCTTACCTACGTACAATATTATAATATATACACATGCATAGAAGCCGGAATCCCGACTGACAAATGTGCGCGCGCGAGGACCAGTGACAGCCCCGCGGAACCGCACGATCGCCCGAACCGATTACTCATGATATTATTATAATACACCGGAATATAAGTAATATTATAACAAACGCGTTTGGATGTTATTTCGATCGTTTCTCGTCCATTATCGTAATAATAATATTTTTGTTAAAATATCGCGTCTCCATATTACGACCGTCGCGACGGTTCGTCGTATGTCAAATTGAACAGGTGTTCCGGACGACGGACGCGCCGGTTTCGCTGTTGCACTGTCGTGTTTTCAAATTCCGAACGGAACGACGAACGTGTTGATTTTACAATGATGTTTATTTTTTTCGTTTCTCATCCGTGTGAAAAAAAACTTTTCCGCCGGCGATTTCGCACCGATGTTCGAGCGTAGCGCTTTTTCTGAAAGTAAATCTGAAACCAGAAATCTCTCGACGACCATCGACTTTAGACGCAGTTTTTATGGTGTAGACGATTTTGTCAATAGTCGGACAGGTCATTTTTTCGATCTCCCGTGTAAAGTTTTCATAACAATCGGGAAAACGTACGCGACAACGGTTTCTGTTGTTTTCTAATTTGTTTTCGTTTTGTTGTAATCCTTACAGCGTTCCGAAACGCGTTTATAACCGAACTTCGCTCGGACGGTAACTTCGCGCACACAACAGTGGCACACCCATCGGCAGTATCGGTTCTTTGTTTTCACTTTTACTCCAAAAACGGTATAATTATAATGCGCCGAAAACGTATTGTGCACATTATTATTATTCGTGAAAGTTTCTATGATATTTACTCGCAGAGTTTTGGCTCGTGACGAATACGAAACCGACATCGCGTCCTATATATTTTTGCCGGTAGTTTAATACGCGCGAAGTATCAATGGCGGCGTTGTAATATGTAAGAAACAAGTTAGGGGAGCCCACTCTGCGGGAGTGCAAATAGTTCCCGGTTTCTAAACGTATTCGAAACAATAAACTATAATAATTTCACATGCGATTTTGAAAGAATTTCGTAACCAACAGACGTGCGTTACGCTTGTATGTATACAAACCTAAAGTAAATTAAATATCTTAATTCGTAAACTGTCAACAGGACATTTTTGAAATTCTCTCGGAACATGTTATTTTTAAATATTGGCTAGTATGAACGTATATTTAAATACTAATTTCTTTTAGTATTTATAATTAATACTCGTATTTGTAAATTAATAACAACGTTTCGGTAATCATCGTATATACTTCTTTGTTAACTAAATCAACGACCGTAACCACGTATCAGTAACTATACGGACGGACGGACGGACACAGTAATTTGTTCTAAACTTATGTTTCGAAACTTAAAACGGAGACGCCATAAAAAAAAAAAAAAAAAACAGCTGATAATGAGGACGGGTGTGTCACTGTTGGAAGTGGGAAGTCGGAAACGCAGGACACATAAAGTTATTTAATTTATACATGTTAACAACGATAATAAAAAAATAATAAAAAAAACGATTCGGAGCGAAGTTCGGTTGTACATGTTTTGAAAGGCCGTAAAATTTAAGATTTTATTTAAAATTCACTTTTAAAAAAAAAATCAATAATTTATTAAACAACGACATTAACCGGCCCAGATTCGTCATCGTGCGGTCCCATCGACTGGATCTTGTGTAGAGATTCTTTATGTAACGCAATGCGATCGAGCGCTAAGAAATAATTTTTGGAAATTCAATTCCTAACGAAGAAAGGCCTCACATACGAAATTTGTTCTTGAACTATGAAAATTGCGGTTTTTTTCCAGGTTTCTGTTGGTTACACGTGGATAAACCTCTTTATTACAAAAAGAGAACTCTTTTTATTTGTTTTACTCCATAACTAGACACAATTATAATTATATAGAGTTCTGCAGTACAACGCGCGTAGGTACATACGACACGCGTACTTATATAAAAAGAAAAATATTTTTGTTTGTCCAGGGTCGTCTCCAAAACCACATACAAGTACCGATCGATAAATTATGAGGTTTTTTTTTTTTTAAATATTTTGTCGGTAATTTTGCCGGAAATATAAGAGAATAGGCATCGTACGAGCATTATGTTATTTTGATATTTTTAGCGTATTAGAAATTCGTATTGTTTACAATAAATCGTAAATTTAATTACAGAAAAACGCCGCGTTACACGAAACTTTCGAAATAGCGTTGACCGGCCCGCGTAGAACTTCGTCTACAAATGGTATACTGCCGGCCCGCGTCTGACTGATGATACTGCGCCATGCTTTTTACCGCCAGCTGCTGACCCGTCAAGTTTGTACAACAATCATGAAAATTAAACGTTCAACATGAGAAATATGTATATTATAAATTTAATTATACACATTCGAAATAGCGACGGCCGTCCCGCGTAGAACCTCATCCACAATTAATGGTATTGCCGGTCCGCCGGGTCTGGCTGACGACACTACGCCGTACGTTTCATCGCTTTTTTGAAAAAAGACGACGCTGTTATAAAATAATTGGATCTGTAAAAAAAAAAATACAAAGACGAAACAAATTATATCCTTATGACGTTAAGTAAACTCAATCTTCAAACCAAGGTTAATATTATTATTGTTTATTCACATAAATTAAAACGCGCACAAACAATTTAAGTAAAATACGCTGTGGCTGATGGCTGATTGTGTTTAATAATATGTTGATCATTTTTTTTTAAATTTTATATTTTATACAGTGCGACGAAATAAGAAAAATTTTTGTTGACACTGATAATGAATGTTTACGGCGGTTAGCAAATCATATTGCCGTGAACCGGATTAGCGTTAAGTCAAATGATCATACGATATAGGTACTCCGAGTTTTTAGACTCTTTTAACAATGAAACGTTAAATGAATTAGTATTATTGGAAACAATTACAAATGTTAGAGAGAGTAGAGGAATATTGTTTTTAATGTTTAATTTTCTATGGTATGAATATGGTTTGTTTTCAAACATTATTTTGCGTATCTCGTTAGGTTTTATTGACATGTGATAGATCAAAGGCGAAATCGTCTAGTTAATTAAGTCATCATTGCTAAGTAATTTGGGCCATTGGTTTGGAATGGTGACGTTAGCCAGCGAAGATAGATGAATTTGTATGATGTTTGGATACCAAAAATGTAAAAGTGTTATTGGCCAAAGCTTATCACGAAGAGTTTATTTCCGATAACTACGGTACGGCCGGCACTCCCACCAATCAGTCTGGACTTATGTCGGGATACGGCTCCAAAGGCCGCTTTTGTGCGCCGAAGATGGGGAATATTATTTGACCGCCGTATATTTTAATCGTATTAAAATGTATTTAAATGCATTTCGAATTTGTGACCAATTTAAATAGCGAGACACTACGTGCGCGTATAACGTTACCGGTAAATAAATACTGTTACGTCTTTCTAAATAATACCGGTCAATAATACCCAATAGAAATACGCGATTCAATTATATTTTATTTATTACGTTTTCATTGTGCCCATTGTACGGGCATAATACCTACACAATATTATACGTACGCATCGCCGACATAAATATTATAATGTATTAGTAAAAAAAAAAAAAAAACGAGTAGGTACTACATTATATATACATATATATATATTATAATATTAACTAAAATATATATGCATAGTTTTTTTCGAATAGTTTAGAAAAATGTTTTTTTTTGCTCCCCGTAATTTATTTATGAGTTTTAGACGCGTCCGCCGCGCTACACAATGAATACGCATCCGTCATCCTATTGTCGATAACATTTTCAATATTCTATTTTTCTATATTACTCGACGACGCGCGTACACCTGTGTAGGCATATACTCGTACTCGTACTGCTCTGCATCCAGTGGGCGTCGCTCATCCGATCGCGAATGCCTTTGTTTTTTTTTTTTTCTAATCCCGAAATAGCCAAAGGGCATTTGAACGCGGGTGGCTTTTTTGTCGCGAAAACCTAAACCTGCGTCTACAACCCAGATCTACAACCCCGATCGGTACGAAAACCCGCGAGAAAACCTGCCGTACGAAACGCGCGCATACGTCTTTTTCGCGGGGGATACCGCGGTGTGTATGAAAACAGCTCGATGCAGTTATAGTGCGCGTTACTTAAAAATATCATTCTTCCCAATAATATCTCGTGCAAACAGCACTAGTCTCGAAAGGGCGTGCGTCATATGATGTGCTTTATTAAATTTATTTTTATACATGAAACTAATACTATGAAACAATATAATAGGAACGTCTGCGTAGGCAATGTGCAGGCGAAATTGAAATAGGCGCGCATTAACTTTAAAATTGTCTATAGATAATGATAAGAAATGTTCGTGGACATTATCTACAATGAAATTAAACCGATTTCTACGGGACTACAGATATCGTCGTCCAAACGCACTTCTTAAATGTCACGAAATAAAAACCCCATTTGTCAAAATGGCTAAAATGAGTTTTAATATTTAATGGCCGTATAACAGCCTACGTTACCTACGTGTTGGTCCGGACCTGATACTGTAGCTCAAAGAATTTTAGTGAAAACCTAAACCCCTGCATGTTCGTTAAAAAACCGCGTCGCACTGGACACTGCAGGATAATCGGATGAAAATTCGCTTTGTTTTAAAATCACTGTGTAACGATTGTTCATTACCGAGTACCGATATTAATAGTACTGACATAACTACTTACGCACTTTGATATTTTTTAACTTTAGAGTGTTCAACTGCAGAGCCTTGAGACAGTATAATTAACAGAGACAAGCGCCGATCGCGGGTTTATACAGTTCATTAATACTGTCAGTTATGGAAAAAAGACGAGCGTTCGCCGAAACACGACAATACAACAAATTGCGACGCACACATTGTGATATTTTTGCATTTGATATTGTCCGCTAATAAAAAAAAAATAATAATAATAATAATATAGACGATTCGGAACGTAATAAACCGAAGAATTTTTTCTTTCGGTGTCCGCGTTTTTCTCGCAAACCCTGCGACGGCGACCCGGTTAATAATAAATATCCGCACGGACGGCGCTTATTGTGTCCTGCACCTTCCGGTTATTATTTGGACCGTGTATCCGTATATTATACAGACGACGAGGATAATAGCAATACACACGAAACAAACTTAGTTAACCAGAGCTGTTTCGGACCGGGGCCCAATCACGTAATACATTACTTTCTTAATGTTATCATCGCCGTCATCGCCGTCATCGCCGTCCCACGGTCCCCCGATGAATTTTCGCGGTTCCTTCTATAAAACAATAATAATTTATCCCGCTCCGAATAATAATGATATTATATTATGTTATATATATATATATACGGGCGTTATAATACGAGTATATATTGTCAATTACGCGTGCCGGCCGCGTAAATATAAAAAAAAAAAAAAAAAAAAAATAAAAAAAATACGTACAAGAACGATAACATAATATAATAATGTCAAAAAAAAATAATAATAATAACGTCAATGTATAATGTGTGTTTGGTTATCAAAGATATTACTAATAATCCGTGGTCGGTCGCGTCGGCGGACCTTGTGCTAATTTTCAATAGTGCACGCGAGACTCTGCTGGGTTTTTTTTTTGCCTCAGTTTCGGCGCCTTAACATTAAATCGTACACCTCGCGAGCACGTGTGTGTGTGTATAATAACAATAATATTACATATGTAAATATTGTAAACGATTTCGGCGCGTTAAACAATATCGTCTGTCGTGATTGAACAACGGAGTGAAAAAAAAAAAATCCGAAAAAAACAAAACAAAACATCAGAGCGTATTGTTCAACAAAACCAATCTATTTTTATAGACGCTTACGTGATTTTTGACCTACTAATATAATATATTATAATATTATATTGTCACAAAGGCGGTCCTTGAGAGTCGAGTTGTGAGCGCGGCGCGCGCACACGCACTCAGACACGACGATTTCAATCATGCAAATCGGATATAAACCGAATTGGTTTAATATAGGTACGGGCTATACCTATGGTGTATTATTGTCGCAATAGCAAAATACCGATTGTGGGTATTCGAATCGAAAATGCCTGTACGTTTTAATCGGTTTCCTTCCTGAATGTACCGATAATATTATAACATTATAATACGTCCTATATCGCAATCGAATACCGCGGTTGACTGCGTTAATATTTAATAATAATACCATTCGATTCCGTTATGAATAAAAAAAAAAAAAAAAAAAAAAAGGGAAAAAAATGAAACGAAATACGAAATAATAAAATAATTTAAAAATACGCATATACAGTTTTCTGTATGTAAAATAGTGTTTCTATTAAACTATATTCGACTTTTTTTTTTTTTTTTTTTTTAATATTACACCTACGTCGAAGGAATGACGACCGAGCATTATTATAATTTACCTGATTTCATGGCGTATAATATTATACCGGAATGAGAGAATTTATTCCAATTCATGGAAATAAATATTAGTAGAGTCGCGCGAAGTCGATTTCTATGTTACGGTCTCGAGTGGAGTTCAACAGTCGAGTTTACGAGTAACAAACAAAATTCGGTCAATTGCTAAACATTTCTCTCAGTAATCGTTAATGTCGATAATGTAATAATTTAGTATTATATTTTAATTTTGTAAATTCAAACCATCAAACACCGGCATTTTCACCGTAAATATTTGGGTTTGAAGATATTTATAATACCTAGTTTTTTCGTTTTTTTTTTTTTTTTTTTTTTTGTCAAGTCGAGTATTAGAATTGACTCGTGCAAACTCGACCGTTTCTAAAAAAATAGCTTAGAAAAAAGTCCAATGAGAATACCGTGAAGGAGATTAAAGGGGCATCGTTGTGGAATTTGCAGAAAAAATTGGAACGGAATGGGAACAAGCATTTTGGCAGAGTCCAAATAGCTCGTAAGGTCTAGTAAAAAAAAAACATAAAAAAATAAATTTCAGTTTTTCATAGTCGTTCGCACTAGCGGCACACCCCATGCGATTTGCTGGTGTTCTGAGCACTCGGTGTAAGTTTTAAAACAAACATCCGGTAAAAAAATACACCGGACAATACTACGATGATACATTTATTTTTTACACTCTGTTTATTCTGCATTTATATTTTTAAGTGTTACTGGGACATGAGGAAAAAAACCCTTAACGTATACTGTTGGTATATATTATGGTAATCGCTTAGGTCATCAGTGACCTCTGTGCCTATAACTCTTATAGAGTTTTCGCCAACGTCACTGTGTATGCATTACTCTATAGCTCCCGACCTTAAACACCATTGTCCACCGATCTCGCATTCCTAGGATTTTAATACCTATCCTACAATTCTACCAACCGCCAACCACATATTATACCGCTTCTGTGGTTTTGTCTCGCGGGCTCTTTCCCACCGTGATATCCACTTTTACCACGGCAAAAGTGCCTTCACGACATTGGGTCATCGCTTTTTCTTATCGTACGGCCTCCTAACCACTGTATTCAACCGCCCTTTATAAAGCCGGTTACGGGTGCTAAGCCCGATCCGTTCCGCAGGGTTTCTTATTTGCAACTCGTAGACAATACACTAATATGATTACACACTCATCAGTATACTCGAAGTAACCGAATATTTTGTATTAGATATTAATTTTCTCCGAGCGAACGGGCAATATTTTTTATAGTATAAATAAAGTAAACCCGAATTGTTACCGAGAATCGAATTATAGCGTAGAAACTAACGCAATTATTTCACCGTCCGAGTAGTATATCGTATACGAAATTCTCGAAACTGTTACGAGTTGCGTAAAAAAAAAAAAAAAAAACCCGCCAAAAACCGGAAAAGCGATGTTTTATATTATTTTCGCCGAGTGTCAAAATTAAAATATCAATCGTATATTATATAAAATACACGCGATTGTATATCGCAACAGAACATAATGGGTGTTCGACTGGTGAAGAAAAAGACATTGACCCGACTGTTCCGTGTGTTGGTTAACCTAGATTATTAATTAGTTTCCCCCCTCCCCCCTAGTAAGCAAATCCTGTTTGTAATTAAGGTTATGGGACGTCATATTATTCATTCCGATTAAATATAATATAGACTAACGGCGCGTGTGCGCGCGCTTCTGTGTTCGAATCGGACTTTCCACTTCGATATGTTAATAATTGTTATGCGTGTGCACATTCAATATGCACGTAAAATGCGCATACCTGTGTGGCTGATGTCTCGGGAGAAGATTAAAGAACGCAATGCAAAACTGTTGTGTTCCGCCTCTGCGGCGTTCGGCGTGTCAGAAGGATTAATACGCAGTGTGCCAACTGCAACAATATCCCCGTGTACCTTTATGAATATTTTAACTACGTACCGGGGAGGCCGTAAACAAGTCGTGTCTCACTGATCTTTTCCACGCGCGCGCCTTTAATCAAATTATCCGTAATAAATAGAACATGTACACGCGTATGGTATACACCCGTAAAGTGAATTTAATTTATAACCGCGCGAAACGATAAATCGCCGTTAACGAAGAAACGATTCTGAACGAAATTCGGTAAAACGCGACGTATTGAAATGCCGCGTGCGTTACGATTTCCATAACGATTTCGACCGTAACGAAATGAAAACTAAAAAAAACCCGGACGATTTCAAATGGCTATAAAAAGCTTAAAAATAACATTAAAAAAAAAATACGGACATACTTCGCACGATGGGCGAGTTACTGTTGTAGATGAAAAGTTGGATATAGGAGGGGAATTTAATTTATATCTGATAAATCATTGTTAACGAAAATCGATTCGGAGCGAAGTTTCTTTCGCACATCTAGGTTCATTTTTCCGTTTTTCCTACGTTTCCCCCGGTTTTTCCCAACTACACTTGGCGTCACAAAAATCGCACCTATTGCAAATTATTTTTCAAAGTAATTTTAACTACACTTAATCATATATAAGGGTACTGTTATGATATATCATTTGAAAGGTGATGAAATAAACTTGAAAAATAAATAAATGGTATGTGTTTTTGTTTATCAGTGTTTTAAAAAATAAGTTAATCGTGGAAGAGGAAAACAAATTGTATTGAGGATATACAGTTTTACAAACAGAAACAGACAATAGACTTCATATAAAAATAAAAAACTGTTACTAAATGTTATTTAAAATCTAGTGCTACTTCCTCTTGCCTTAATTACTGCTTCCATACGATCTTTCATAGAAGTTATGAGTCGTACGATGCGTTCTTGAGGAATGTTCACCCATTCCGCAACAACAGCATATTGAAGATCTTGGAGGGTTGTTGGGGCAGGATCATGTGACCGCACTCTTCGTTTTAATTCGTCCCAGAGGTGCTCAATTGGGTTTAGGTCTGGACTTCTCGCTGGCCAGTTCATAACAGGGATCCCAACCTCTTCCGTATAATTTTTTACAATTAATGCGGTGTGGGAACGAGCATTGTCGTGCATTAGTATAAACCCATCTCCAACAAAACCCGCANTGTCCGTTGTGCAGCGTTGTCGGCCTGATCCATGCCTCCGGATAAAGCCACCAGTCTCTTGATAACGTTGGAAAACTCGTCGAACGGCAAAACGGCTCAAGTTTAGTTGCCGTGCAACATCACATTGACGCATCCCTGATTCCATTAATGCTACCACTTGAGCGGCTTCGTTAGCAGTTGTATCCATTTAATACGTTATTTTTTGAAATAATATTGTTTAAAGAGTATTCACGTACGTCCTTTTCAATGTTTAGGAAGTGAATGACCTGCATTTGACACTTTAAACTGATTTTTCTATAGCCAAAGAATATAAGATAAGATAGGAGTATATTTATACATTTTCCTAATGCACCGTATACTCGGAATATGATTATTGTTTATGAAATGAAACTACTATCGGATAAGAGGTCATTAACTGTACTTTCAATTTATATCTTTATTGTTTGGATTAAATGTTTTGGTTCGGGGAAATGCCCGTTTGAAACTTAATTTTAAAGATGTGCGATTTTTGTGACGCCAAGTGTATTATGAAAGCCGCTTGGAAAATCAAAAAAAATTCTTAGGTACTTATAGTACCACCTAAATAAAATTTCCTTTAAGAAAAGATAATACATTTGAAAATCGGAGCAAAATTTCTGGTAGAAAAGTTGTATGTAGATAAAAATAAAAATAATAATAATAAACATCATTGTAAAACCAATACATTTCTCGATATGCAGGTTTTCTAAATTGTTGAGAAAACTATAAAAAAATAATGTTTGCCAACTAGACTGCTCCAGCTAGACATCGTGTCTTACTAGAAACTATCCTTAAAGTTGATTATCGGGGCAAGATTGCTGATAGAAAAGTTGTTTACAGTATTACAGATACAAAAAGATAGCACCGTGAGCACGAACAATAAACTCGGTGTAACATTTTCAAGCATTTTTCGCCGATTTTCGAGCCAAGGCAATATTGTATTCACATAAAACCAAATAAAAACTCGAAAATGTCGAACGTCTATAAACGGCTTGTAAATCGCTATACTCTCCCCTTACCCAAACATTAAAGCAAATATCTCTGGGCGAATTATATCCCGTCAGTGGATTGATCGAAATTGAAAATTCCGAAATTCCATCCGTTCACGGGCTCGTAAATACAGGCCGGTATTTGAAAATCAAAAGCGGGTGGCGGTCTCAACCCCGGGGTGACGAAAAATACCGGCAATCTACCGTCTTAGGACCGTTCGTTTCGTAAATTGGTAAGACGGAAAAAAAAAAAACCCAATTTTAAATTCCCGAAAACAGGCAATACGTTCCGGGGATAACGAGTGTCCCGTCGAGAATCGATCAACTCGGAATCGCATCGATTTTAATAAAATATCTATTACACGGGTATAGGTTTAGTAATTTCGATAAAACGGTAGGTGCACCGGACGCCTGCCATGTCCCTGATATAAAGTCATAACGGTTCGGTTTTAAACTCGCGTTAAGCACAACACATTGATTCGGCGCTATAGTCGTCCGGCAACAGCGTTCGTTGTTTCGAAACGACCGATACTGGCCACCGCTCGGCGTGTACGGCGCGCTGCACCCCACGGCCCATAATGTCCAGGGTCGAAACGTATAGTACCGCAAATAGAGTATAAAACACGTATTGTACTTACGCATCGACTACCAGTGTACGTTGCGCGTACTGTGCACAATTTGTTTTTATGACCGCGCTGAACAGCGACAATTATCGTATACAATAGCCGTCAATTGGCGGACAATCAGCAGTTGTCCGAAAACGATATGGATCTGTGGGACGATAACGATCCGAAAACGAAAATGCACTGTCGACCGTTGCCAACGAAATCACCAATCCGCATCGCAATGCAGACGTTAAACAATTATTGCCTAAAAGACAACAACGACACGAGCACTTGAATATTAGTGTTCGACTTGAAACGACCAGACTGCGTTGGCCGTTGGGCGGAAACAAACGACCGACGGCGGAGTTCCAAACAGAGGTTTGATAAATATTTATGTGGACTGTAAGAAACGGACACGTATTTCCGTTGTAAATTTCAACGATAACTTCCGAAAACACTCCCGGAAAAAAATATCGCGTGAATCGAATTATAACTCAACAGCGCGGTATACCGCGGTACATTAATGATAAAAAAAAAAAAAAAAACTATTTCGAATACAACGTTGGACGAATGTACGCCGCAAGCCGTGTGTTTGATGCTGCCGTTTTTCGCGTTCGGCCCTTGCCGTTTTGCGGACAACCGGACGCCCCGACCCGTCAATCCGATGTCGATAAGCGACAACGCACGCGCGTACGGTTATTTAATCACAATTCCGCGCGTGGCTCACGTCCGTCGCGCGGTTGTGTCGCCGTTATAATTCCGTCATAAAACGCCGGCGTAAAAAAAACAAAAAAAAAACGCACGATTCCCCGTGTACCGTGCGGCCGCCAACGGTGTCCCGGCGTTTCGCGCGCGCTGTTGCCGACCCCCCCCCCCCCCCCCCCCCCCCCCNCCCCCCTCCCCCCCGATTCGACGTCCGATCGCGGTGACCGTAACGCGCCGGGTCGTCGCGAGCGGGGTTATCGTCGAGTGGCGAGGCGGCGGCGGCGGCTGCGGCAAAAGTTCTCGTCCGGTCCGTGTCGTCCGACACGTAACGCGACACCGCGTACGATGCGCAACGGCGTAACGGTGCGCGAACAATGGCCCCATTATACACGTTTCTATACGTCATTACCGCCGTCGTCGCGACAAATACAAACCGTACGCGATTTATAATAATATTATTATTATTATTATTATTATACGCGGGACGGTCGAACGGACGAGACGACCGCGGGATTTCGCACCGGCCGTAACCGTACCGGTACGCCGTGTTCGTGTGTACACGGCGTACGTATTCATAATCCGCGGCGGCGACGGCGGCGTGCCCTTAACGAGACGACGCGGCGTTTCGCGTTTATCGCGCGCGGACTCGCGCAGATTTCTATCGCGGACCGCGTGCGGCGCAACGTTTGTTGCGCGCGTTATCCCCCAAAGGCGTATTGTTTATTCGTTATTATCGTCGCCGTTATTATTTATATTTACTCCGGGCGAGGTATTTACCCGCCGTGTCGGTTTCCGCGCCTTACGGTTTAACACACGCGGACGTCGGCGGCGTGCGCGGGAGGGGGGCGGGCCGTGTCGGAGTTTGTGCGCCGGCCGTCCCGTGTGCCGTCGCTCACGCCGGCCCGAAAATACGCGAAAAATACGATTGACCCGACGACGCGGTGCGCGTTTTCGGCCGCGAGCTACGCGGAAAAAAGCAGCGTGCGCCGTGTCCGTCTTGAGCCGCCCGCCCGTACGGGCGATTTTCACGCGAGGGACGGAGTGAAACTAAATCCTCAAACCTGTTTGCACGGCGCACAAACACTGTGTAATCGTGTAAACATAAGCGTCGGGGAAAAAAAAAAAAGAAAACTTTTAAACGCCGAAATCGAGACGTTATAATATTCTGCTGTTTATAGTTTACACAGTACATTTTAATAGCGGAACAATTAACAAATATCGTAACACGAAAAATCTGTTTTACACGTATTTTCACGGACTCAAAGCATACATCATTGTTTTTTTTTTTTTTCCGGACACTTTATTATTTTCTCCGGGGGAAACGTCCTCTCGTCCCGATAGACGCCCATGAACTACCCCTTTCCAGTTTTCAACCCCCCCCCAGTTTTTCTACTGCACTACGTCCATCGTATTCACGGTCTTCATCCTCGGGGTGTCCGTTCCATTGCTGCCCTGTTTAGTTTTCTCTTCTACTCATTATGTGATCTAACCGGTGGAACGTCTAGAGAATTTTATGAAAAAAAAAAAAAAATTTGAGGTTCATATAGTTAACTATGAAGGTTAAATGTATTATATTTTATTTGTATAAGATATCTTATAGTACTTAATGCCTAGGTTTCAGTGTTTTGTGATAACTAAGAACTATAATATCGTAATATTTAAACGCTAAATGTTACGTAACATTCTAGGACATTCGCTTATAATTTCGTCCACATCGAGACGTATGTTCAGACGAACGCACAGCGATTGCCAGGCCATTCGGCCCAATAACTATACGAGATAACATTTAAAACGCTGTTGATTTTAACTTTTGTAATCAAATTAACGTACGATATAATATTACTGTTACTCCGTTCGTTGTAGGTCTTCCGTACGTTTTCGACTTTTTTCGAATGCCGATAAATACCTTTCTGGTGACACCGGTAATGTACAGAAAATGTCTCTATTGGATGTACACTCCTCGGAAAATCTTCTTTAACACGAACACCGCGAAGGGGGGAGGGAGGCATCCAATTCACTCATGTATAATATATATACGGGCGAACTATACATTTTCCATGACCGTTCGGCGTATCAATTTTCTAACCACCAGTCATAATTTAACACGGTCCGGGGCAACGGTTCCGAACCTTTTTATATCCGCGTACCGTTTACACATTTTGAAATTTTTCACGTACCACTTGATCTAATAACATTTTTTCTTGCTTATCAAAAAATAAAATGTATACGTTTTTTTTTATGTATGGAGCTTTTTATTATTAAAACTACATAATTATAAGCGTTGTGCGCAAAAAAAAAAAAAGAACCAAAAAATACATACAGGTTTCATTTATTATTATTATTATTTATGAACTAATGGACATTCTCATAATTTGTAAATAATTAGCTTTTTTTATTTTCACTTACAAAACTTTTTTTTCGCGTATTACCTATGGTTTTTTTTTTGGGGGGGGGAGGGGTCACCGTTCGGACTTTGTGGACTGAGAGGGTAAATACACCCTCGGACTTAATCATTCCTTATCGAAGCTTGTTACTGTTATGTCCATACTGGTGTTACCGTTCACCTCTCTGTCGGGGAACTCTGTGGGTTTGCAATACATTTTTCGGCATACATTTTCATTCTCGAATGTTTTCAATTTGTTTTCACTGCAGTCGGTTCGGTCGTCGTTCAAGCATAGCGACTCGACAATAAGCGGTCAGTAAAAACCGGGCACTACACACGTACTGCGTGACTAGACGGTGACTTTGTCATAAACACCCCCGTGATTTTTTTTTTTTTTATGAGATCGTCTCGCCAGGCGACCATCAAGACACCGGCGATTTACGTTTCGTTAATTCGATATGTTTACTTTTGTTTGCTCCGGGGCACG